GGTTCTATTTGTGCTGACTGCCACCTACACCAATTGTTTTAAATACAGCAGGGGTAATTTTACGCTCTTCAGCAGTAATATGTCACTGAAATTTATAGGCCCCTCTTTACTAAGGACTAGGAAGGCCTTAGATCTCTCAGTGTTGTTTGGATCATCTTGTTGATTATACTTGTGCCAGAGTACAGCGCTTTTGCTGAAGTTGTTCAGTAACTCCTGGCACCGTAATAGCAAAAGCATCAAATCCTATTTCAAGATGTGATGATATTGAGTTCTTAACCCTGGCTCAGGCTAAATGCCAAACTCCTGGAAGGAATTTTTATGTCTGTTTTGACGATCGTTGCTTGTGTTATGAATAAATGTACTTTTTCTATTACTCCACTAACACGGTTGCTGCATACACATAGTGTACATATTTATGCAGACGTTTGGGTGGGTCGGACTTACAGCGGTGTGTGAGGTGCGTGGTATGCAACTTCACAGGCTGACACTAAATGTTGATGCCAGTGATGTGAATTATACTGATAATTTGCAGCATGCATACATGGTACAACTTTGAGTGCTTAAAAAGAAAGAACGGTTGAAGTGGACTTGAAGTTCTGGGTGATTCTTTTTGTGTGTCTCAGCGCTTATGGGTGTTCTACTTGAATGAGTGGGTATTTCGTTAAAAAAACAGGTGTACAAATTAAGCGCACTCAACTGCTTTCACCTCACCTGTCCCCGCCGCCTGGGGCCATGTGTTTGTAATGGCTCAATGACGTCGTGAATTGGACTAAACTTTGAGTAAACAAGCTATGGAGCCAAAATATGTTACTTATGGAACACCATCTTTATAAACTTAACTTGCAGACTAATCAGCAAGTTGGTAAAGTTAAATCCAAGAGTAATTGTTTAAAAATTGTGTAAGCTTTTTATGTTTTTCCAGTATGTTTAAAATGGTTCAAGCTTCATTGCTTAACCAGCAGAGGAAAAGATCATGTTTGTCTTTTAAAAAAGTAACAATCTTAAGGGAGAATTAAGATGTAAGTTGAGTAATTAATGTTAATGAGCAAACTAAAAGCAGAAACTCTTAAGTCATGAACTTGACATTACTTAATGCACTGGTTATCTTAAAGTTCAGTGAAGCGTGGTGGTAATTGGAAGGACAGCTGAAATCGCTTGGAGAAATCTTGTCAAAGGAAGTAAATGGCTAACTACTATTGTAATTGTTGCCCCGGGCCAGGCATTAACTCCAGCGCTTTTGCAGTGGAGCTGCTCAGTGGCCTTTAGCAGAAGGAGCTGATTATACTGGATCACTCTTACATGGAAGTGTGTTAGTTTTTAATGGACATTTTTTCACCCTCAAAGTTCGAAGAAATTAGACAAAGTGAAGATGAGATGGTAACTGAGTATAAGATCATAACTGCAACAAGTTTACGGAGACAGGAGGGGATGGGGATCTGAAGTGCTAATATGGAAGGTTATGCAAGGTTAAACTGTACCATACAGTATATGTATGGTACCATACAGTACAGTACCATACAGTACCATACAGCACAGTTTACAGGAAAGAGACATGTAGACATTTAACCAAGATCTGGAGATGCCTGTCTGGGCTGAAGATCATTTAGGATAGATTGAGTAAAGTTCTAAAATCATTGTGTGTGTGTTAGTGTGGCACCTCGGTTTAGCACAACTGCAACACTGTATCTGTATACAGATATTGGAGCAACATTTCTTGCAATTCAGGCTACATAATTACAAGGGAATGTCTTGCCTATTTCAGCAAGACAGTGCCACACCACATTCTTTTTGTATTACAACAGCAATGCCCAAAGCAAAAAAAAAAAATGTCCGGGTGATGAACAGGCCTGCCTCCACCCTTGACTTACCCCACTCACTGAATAAATACAATTATTCATTATGAAAAGAGGCCCCGAACTGAGCAGCTGATATCCTGAATCATGAAAGGAGGGGGAAACCGCTTGAGCCACAGTCTGCCACCAAAACTATGTGTACGCTTTTATGGGAATTTGTTAGATGTTTTATTCCAACACTGACTTCTTTTACTTTGTAAAATTTAGAACCACAGTGTGCTTCTGTGTTGTGGCCACTGTAATATTTCAGCAAGAAAGAGGTTTTTACTAATTTTCCTGCCTAAACTTTGGTTTTTAAACAAATGATCAAACCTTCAGGCCCTTGGCTGCAGAAAGATGGAATACCCATCAGTCAGTCCCAGCAGCAAGCCTCTAAAATTGAGTGTGGCCGTGTTTTTGCCACCAACAGAGGCACCGAGCGACCATGAGTCATCTCTGGTCTGTCTGAAGACGCTCTGTCTCTGCTCTCCACTCTGCATCCATCTCCTCCTCTCTTTGCTTCTCTTTGTCTCTCCCACCCTCCCCCCGCTTTGTTTTGATGTGGATCGTTCTTGGTTCCCCTCCTTCACTTGATTATTTTTTTTTTTTTTTAAATCCTATAGTTGGATAAAAATAAAATTCACGTGTCTGTGTTTTGGCATTAACATTGTTTTTTCCTGTGGATACCCCTTAAATTTATTTTGCCATCACTATTGTGTGACCACAGTGCACACCACTGAAGTGATCTCGGTAAAGTTTGAGTCATTGTTTGTGCCACTTTGTTTTGTTTTCACTGCTCAGTTCTGTCAGCACCTTATGCTTCACAGCATCTGACACACAGTATCCTGGTGGTGATGGAATTAAACCAAGTGCAGTGCCAATGAATTCTGGGGACACACCCTTGTGGTTTCATTATAGTGCAGCTACACACCTGTAAAGTTTTGTGACTGAGTCTTGATGTTCCAGATTCCTGCCTAACAAGTCTTGACCTTTTGGCGTTCTTCTTAGTAAAGCATCCGAGCGGTTGTGGCAGCACTAATTTATTCTGCTACACAGGTGCTTGTGTCAGTGCAACAACACAATTGCAACTTCATAGTTTGGTTGTTTAAATCATCGTGTGTGTGTTGGCTTTTGCTAGTATGGTCGGGTCATGTGTCAGAATTTCAGAATTTTTTTTTTTTTTTAAGTGGCGAGTCCCCCCCTTATGTTTCTGTCTGGCTGTACTCTGCCTTTGTGGTAGTTCTTGTGTAGGTGTCCTCAAGATCTTGTTTTGCCACAGACAGATGGACTGCCATGGTAAAACAATACCTGCTGTGATATCACAGCCAGTAAAAAGAACATTGCATTTTAAATTATTCTCATTTTGATACTTATTTTATTTTTATTTTTAAAGGGTTTTTAATTTTATAGTCTTTTTATGTTAAAATGTACACTTATTTTACTCTCCTATATAGGCTAGCTTCCCCGCAAAGTGACCATTTAGGACAATAAAGAGAAAAACATACTTAATAATGTTTTATCTGTGATTGCAGCGTGCAGGGAGCATCATTTATTAGTGCAAACAAATGAAGGACATTTTTCATCATTTTTCCAACGAGCTGCTGTCAGTGATGACAGACTGCCCGATTCAAAGTGCGAATCTGTGGCCACAGAGTGCCAGCAGCACCATTATAGTGCAATATCAGTACTACAGCATAAGTCAAATCTGGAAATGTAAGTAAAAGCATATCATAACTGCTTATAAATTTAGTTTAACAATGAATAAAGTAATTTACGTTGTAGCTCTTCAGGATCTTGCATAATATTGTCTCATAATTCATTTAAATTAAAAAATATTTGCTATTTGAGATTTTGCATCCTGGGTTGAGCTTTTAACCAGCTGTTTCCGGGGTTTGGATTGGCATCATATGAACTCGTATAGCGAGCTTACGTTTGGGCCTCACATCAACAGCTGCTCATATCACATCCTCGCATCCATAGCTTGGATGTACTCTACACTGTGTTTTTGCTCAAGTACTGAAACAAGTTCGATGTTTCCACCCTTAAGCTTTTCTTTTTTTTCTTTTCTTGCATATTTTGCGCAGCACTGTTTTATGTTGAAGGTCTGTTTGAAGCCAAACGACTTACATACTACTTAAGTAGCTCCCGTTTCCTTTTTTTTTTTTTTGTCTTAAAGGTACTAAATCATTCTGGGAGGCTGTCACCCTGCTCTCGCCCTCAGACATGTTTGTGCTTGTGTCATTATTTTGTTTGCTAAGGAATGTAAATGCATCTCGCCCTAATGTTAAATTAATATGAACTTGTGTCAAGAATCAGAATGAACGGAGATGTTGATGTCATGGTGATGTTGATGTCCCCCCACCAAGCATTAAGACTCAATAATATTCCAAAAGCCGATGTATTAGATCAATGGCACCGTACTCCTAGTTGTTCATAGTATTGAAGCTCATTTTTCCTTCCCATGTGGAATGTGCTGGACTCTTTTCCCCATTCTCTCACACATACAGTGCTGCTTCTATGTCACACAGGCCACAGGGCATTTTCTTGCCCTGAGTGAAGCACGCAATTCATGCCTCACCCAAAAGAAAAAGAATCTTTTTCCTCATGTATATTTCATATGTAATTCCTCTCTGACCCCATCAGCACTCCTGCTAAATGTAAACAACAGTCTGCTATTTATAGAAAATCTGCCTCTGTACTGTCGTTCCCCTCTTTTCTGACTTATGCCAGCTTTTCAGGAATTTAGGAAAAACAAGTCCACACATTCCTCCCCCATCCTGTTTGTGGTTTAAAGGGTTGCGAATGAGTTATGTCAGAACATTTTTTATTTGCTATACTGGCTACAAACAACTGATTTTGAAAAAGTACGACACAAGCACTCATGACAAAAAGGCACCAATTATATTTACCATCAGTATTTGATGGTGGCATTTTTGTGGATTTGGTGTTTCTATCAGCTTCCTCTCAGCTGATTGAAACTCATCTAATGAACATTACAGTTTTGTCTTTCTTGTGCTCTGAAGTGCAGTGAAAACAGTTAGGGTTTCTCTCTATCTGCTCTCCAGTTCTGTCACGTTGTACCTTGATGTTGCTTAAACAACTTTGCTTAATGACTGCTGTTCATGTTCAAGCCTACAATGACTCACTTTCCTTCTTGTCATACTTTAGGCTCGTAATGTAAACACAGGAGAGCTGGCTGCTATCAAAGTCATCAAACTGGAACCCGGTGAGTTACCTCATCTTTGTCTCTCTTACTTTATCTCCCTTCTTTTTTTCTCGCTGTATCCTACTCCTCATGTTTTTGAATTCCTCTTTCTACTTTATTTTCTTGCTGAATCTAGGGATGTGCGCAACCAGCTGACTAGACGTTTAAAACTTGACACCCTTGCTAGTTGGCACCGGAAATACCAGTTGGTTAAACATGTTATTATTATATTATTAAACGTACAATGACACGTACTGGTTCAGAAATGTTAGGACACCCTCTGCATTTCTGTCTTTTTTT